TAAAAGAAACTAACTGAACTAGAGGTTTTAACCAGAACTGCAACACTGAAAAGGCAAACACTACTGCAAATATTTGCAGATCCTTATAGTCTTCGTAGAGGCCCAGACGCAATGCTCTGATTTACAGAAATCCAGTAACATGTATAAAATCAGCTTTCTTAAAAAATGTGAAATGCTTGTGTTAGAAAACATGGCTTTTTTTAGTAACATACATATATTTGCACAGAATTATACTTCGTTTGCCAGTACAAAATCCTAGCAGCTTTCAGATGAGATTTGTGACAGTGAATTCAAGTGTTTCTCAGCTGCTCTCCTTGCTGGAACTGCATAAAGCTTCATTGTGGGACTATTCTTGAGAAGCAGATAGAGACAGAGATTGTCCATGCTCTACAGTACACAACATTTCTAAACTCCAGGTGTCTGTGGGCTGCGCAGCCCTCACTGAACTTCCCAAGGCAACGCTTAGAGGATTTCATTTAAAGGACCAAACAATGATTAGCAGACAGTGCCAGCAACTGAATTGGTAGAACAGGAAGCAGTATATAGCATAGGCAGCCACACTGTAAGTCTTAATTTAGCAGCAGTGCTTATTCTTGGCTGCAGAATCACTGCTGGCACCTGTACACTCTAAAGCAATACGCATGAATGATCAGAGAGGTATGTCCCAGCAGCAGCACACAATATCAAAGGGCATAAGAACAAACACACTTAAAGATTACATACTGGAAGCTAAAGGAGACTACTTGGAGGAGAAGAAAGAGGACTAAGCTGGGAGAAGATGATGGGGGGAAAAAAAAAAAAAACCACAAGAAAAGCTAAGAACGTAAAGATTCAGATTTCAGGTAGGAAATTATTTGTAACTTACTGCATACAGCACTTACACTTGGAAATCTACAGCAGTCTGAGGTTTGAATTCAAAGCACAGAGTTCTGTAGCTTTCAACAGCCTTTCTTCCCACACATTTAAAAAGCCTCCTATACAAAACTCACAGAAACAGCAGGGGAGAGCCTTCTACCATTACAGCTCTACCCAAGAACCAACTCATCCATTGCACATCACTCCTAGGAGCCAAATTACACATCAAAACACCCACTCTTTCACTAGGAACGTCTGGAAGTTATGATGTCTTATATTTTTATTGACAGCTTTGCTATGAAGTTTTCTTTGAAAATGAGCAATCAACATAATCATAAGAGGAATCCATCAAAGCAACTTCCATTTAGCTTAGGTACTAATTACAACCCACGATGCTCCTCACCTTTACAAAGCACCTCTCAAACACGCCATCTGACCACCCACATATGTTCTTCATGGACATATGCACCAAAATCAGAAGGCAGGAGTCAGTAAATTCCCTAGGAGCATAACAGAGGTGCTGGCAGAATAGAAACAGATTTGAAGGTATATTTGGTTCAGGTAACAATGAGTAAATACAACAGACATTGACCCCACATTCCCATTCCTTCCCTAGTCACCACAGCTATCGCACCCCTCAGGGTCTCAGCCTTGTGTACTTTGAGTCTGCTTCCATGCCAAAGTTCTTAGTCAGCCTCATTTACCTGGATGTACATCATTACTGATCAGCATGACCTCTACTATGCTCAGCACTAGCACACTAAGGGAAAACTATGTAACAGAAGTCAAAAAGAAAGGGATGAGAGGAGAAAAGAGAAAAGCAGAGTAAAGATGACTTGTACCTTCTGTAACTTGTCTCAACAAGTCAGCAGAAAAAATCTCCTTTTTTTACATCAATGCTCAAAGCAATATTCACAATACCAACATACTGCCTGCATCTTCCCATTTGCTCCCTCTACACTGCAAGTTGTGCCCTTGAGCTGCAGCACATTTTCAGAGATGCAGCCAAAAAGGACGTAAGGAGCTATCTAAAATGCAGTTACTGAGGAAAGAAGAGAGGAAAAGAAAGAAATGAATAACTTGGCATAGCACAAAATTGAATCACAGAATCACCAAGGTTGGAAAAGACCTACAAGATTATCCAGTCCAACCACTCACCTATCACCAATAGTTCTCACTAAATCATGTCCCTCAACACAATATCCAAACATTCCTTGAACACATCCAGGGTCAGTGACTCCACCACCACCCTGCGCAGCCCATTCCAGTGCCTGACCACTCTTACAGAAAAGCATGTGGGAAACAAGTGACCAGAAGCTTTTGGTTCCAGGGAGCCAGTCCTCCCTCATTTCATTGGAAAAGGCAGATAAGACTTCAGCACCCTGATCTATCTTGAAGCTACAGATGCAAATACACAATCCCTCCCTGGAGGGAACTCGTGGCTTACAGAGTATCAGCCAGAACCAGCCCCATCAGATGAAGGGGTACTTCTGCAGATAGAGCCCACCTAAAAACATTGCTGGCTTTCCAGGTCCAACCTCACTCCCATCCCCTCAAACTCTTGGCAGTAAGATATACCCCCTCTCAACTGTCCTGTCCTTCTCAAACACATATCTGTTTGAACTCATCTTCCAGCTTAACCCCTCCTGCTACAACATAGCTGTAGCCCAATGACACCTTTTGCCCCTGCTAACATAAGTTCAGAAGCTTTTGTGCTGCATCTGCAAAGTCTTAGGACTAAAGTTTGTCAGGCTTACTTTGGCTGAGCTTCTCTTGGCCTGCCTGTAACTGCTACTTGATTTAGCTGTGACAGCAATTTCTCTAAGTGACCAGGTGTCTATTCGTAACTGGGCTTCACTTCTGTTTACCCTGGCACGCTGCAATCATGGTTTCATGTAGATAGCAGTAACAAGCAGTTAAAGAATGAGAGATTTACAGCTCTAACACAATGTTGCAGAGCAGAAAAATATAGGCCTGGTAAGAAAGCAAAAGCACTGGGAGGTGGAGATGCAGGATGCTGCAGAGAAAAGGACAATCACGGGACACTAACAGATGTCACACAGAGAGCATCTCAAGTCAATCCTAAAAAAAAAAAAAGATGAAAGCATCAACACCAATGATCACACTACCCCTCACAAAGGACATCTGATGCTGACTACTCACCATAAAAGCTCACTATCCTCAGGATGAAACCACTGACTTGCAGCAGCAGTACACACACTGTAAGCGCAACTAATTTACAATTAGATCTGGATTAATAATCACTAGGTTTAAGATCTCAACTATTCTAACAATGAAGTTCTGGCTTCTCACTGAAGGTATGCTTTCTTCTTTCAGCCTCAAATGAGAACAAGACACTTGGTAGGCACTATGACTTTCAAGTTCCCCCTCCAGACCATTTCCCCTCTCCCCCTCTTCCTCTCCCCCCCCCACACCATCACCATAGCTGAAAGGACTCAGGACAGCAGCACCTCAGCACCCAAAGATTTCTGCATGATTCTGACATCTAACACACCAGGTACAGAGAGCACTGGATCTGCCTTCCTGAAGAGCATAAAACTCCAACCCCTCCTTCTTCCTCAAGTGACACTTGACTCATTCCCTTGCCAGAGCTGCTTGTGAGACACACCTGTGAAATACAGCCCAAGAAACAAGCTGTAATAGCAGACAGTACAAACCAGCATGCATAGTACAGCAAAAGGCATGAGAGAAAAGTAATTAGCCAAGATCAATCTTTGCTAGCAAAATACTTATTATCCAGAAAGTACCAGAAAACATAAAGTGGTTTAAGCCGTAGATTAATAAATTACAGAATTGTGGAATTACAGAAAAAGGAGAGAAGAGTACAGATTATTAATGTAAAAACACCCATATTAGAGCCAGAAAAAATGACAGTTTGTGAAATAGATTTCATGGTGGTATTTCCATGAAAAGGTGCATTTAATGACTCATGAAGTGGTCAGCCTGGGTAAGGAAAAAGACCTGTACAGTTTCAGGTTCACACACACTTTAAGATTCACAGAATGGGTTGAAAAAGACCATAATGATCATTTAGTTTCAACCCCCCTGCTATGTGCAGGGTCGCCAACCATCAGACCAGGCTGCCCAGAGCCACATCCAGCCTGGCCTTGAATGCCTCCAGGGACGGGCCATCCACAGCCTCCTTGGGCAGCCTGTTCCAGTGTGTCACTGCCCTCTGTGTGAAAAACTTCCTCCTAATATCTAACCTAAACCTCCCCCGTTTCAGTTTAAACCATTCCCCCTTATCCTAGCACTATCCATCCGTGTATAGAAGATAACTTTCATTTTAACTCTGTCAGCATTAACAACCAGAAGCACGCTCTGAGCCAACCGTAAACGTTTTTATTACTACTTCATAGTGACAAGTAACAGCACACGCTCTCCCCTGCTGAAACACACATACCTGACGTTACTCACTCAGCGCTCCATATGGTTCACGATAACCGCCCTTACGAGAGGGTCGGAGCCCACAGCCGGGGCAATCTCCGCGCTGTCCCACAGGGCAGTACCGCAGTGAGCCCACTGAGTCCCGCAGCCGGGCCCAGGCGCTATTTTTAGCCGGCGACCGAGAGCCAACCCGCCGCCACGCGGGGCCGAGAACGGGGCCGAAGCAGCGCGGCCCGCCCTGCCTCCGCCGCCCGGGCCCAGCGAGGCCTCGAGCCCCGGCAGGGCCTGACTCAGCGCCGCCACACCGGCACTCGCTACCGCTGTCACGCTCCCGGGGAGAGACAGCGCGGCCCGGCCGCCGTTCCCCTACCTGTCCTCGCTCTTGTTCTTCTGCTTCTTGCCCATGGCGGCGACTCCTCGGCTCGTCGCCCGCCTCAGCGCCGTCCAGCCGCCCGCACCCGCGCGCAGCCCCGTGCATACGGCGAGCCGCCCGCTCCGCCCCGCCCCCGCCGCGCCGTCCCGGCCTGCCCCGCGCCGGCACGCCGAGAGCGGCGGCGAGCCCTCCGCCGAGAGCGCACCCTGCCGGCCGGAGGTCAGAGCGCGGCGGCCTCGTTCTTCCCACTGTCGGCCCCGCACCGCAGGCGCTCCGAGCGTTATCTCCCCGCCACACCTGCGGCAGAGCCGCGGTGGGAATTCCAGGAAACAAAAAGAGCACAACGCTTTTTGCTTTTTTTTTTTTTAAAAGCACACTTTAATGTCCCAGCGGCCGCACCCGCGGATCTTCTTCTCGCGCGCGGTCTCCTGAACGGGGCTGCCAAAGCCATGCCTCTCGCTCCCGGAGCGCGGAGGCACCGCCTGGGGCCGCCCTCACCTCACGGCAACGGTCGCGCGGGCCGAAACAAGCGGCTCCCGGTCGTGACGCTCCCGCCGCGCTCCACACGCCTCGCCCCGGGCGAGGAACCCCCGGAAAGCGCGCGGCCGCTCCCTCAGCTCCCCCCGCAGCCGTTACACCGCCCAGCAACGGCCACCACGGGGATCGCGCCCACTGCTCCCCGCCGCCGCCACCCTCACGGGCACGGCGCACGCGCGTCGGTTGCCGTCGCTTCCGTGTCCGCCTTCCTGACCAATGAGCGTGCGAAAAGACAGTTTGCCCCGCCCCCCGTTCCCCCCCATGACCCGTTCTGGCTCTCGCGAGACTTTGCCAGAGCGTGACAAGGCGGGGCGGGAGCGAGGTGAGGGGAGTGGCGCCGGCGGAGCGGGTGAGCGTCGGTGGTGTTATTTGCGGGCCGTGGGGACGCGGTGGCCCTGGGGCGGGTAAGGTGGCTCTCGGGGCCGTCACTGAGCTCATCGGGAGCTGGGGTGGCCGTGCGGGCGGCCTCTGTTTGTCAGGGCGGCCGCGCCCCCGGGCAGTGAGGCAGGTGGGCGGGCAGTAGCTCTTGGTAGCGGCTACGCCAGTGCCGGCGCCTCCCGGCCCTGCGGGGCTGTAGCTTTACCCGAGTGCTCTCCTGCGGTGCGGCTTCTGCTGTGGGAACGCTTGTTCGGAGCTGGCGGGGAGCGGAAGGGCTGACTAACCGCCTTCCTGTTTCTTCGGAGGCCGAAGCGACGGCGTTCCAACGGCACAGGGCTCGGCTCCGCCCCTATCCTGAAGATCTCTCTTTGCCCTGTGTCGGTGAGCTCCTTACCTCCCCTCGAGGTAAAAAGCGGCTCGGCTCAGCCTGTGCCGCGTATACGGCGTGGCAGCCGTGCAACAGTGCTGACGGTGCATTAAACTTGGAGTACTGCCACGGTGTTGGTGCTTTGCCCATCGCTGCTTAAAATGCATTCTTGCCTCTATGTGCGAGGTGTTCTGGAAGCCGATGGCGCTGGTAGGCTGACTGTGGGAAGTCATAGAACGGCCTGAGGTTGAAAAGGACCACAGCGATCATCTAGTTTCAACCCCCTGTTATGTGCAGGGTCGCCAACCACCAGACCATCATAGCCAAAAGTACCCTGGGATGTACACCTAGCACACCAAATCATGTCCTACACTTAAAGAATCCAATTTCAATGACTTTGTTTTCTCTCTGTGTTTCTCTTTTGAAACTGCCACTTATTACAGCAACAGTTTTTTGCTGCATAAGGTGGAAGTTTTTCAAGAAGAACAACCAGTTAGATTCCCCCACCTGGTTTCAATACTTTCTGCCTTTTGAAATGTTAGGAGAGGAGAAATCTTATAGAAAATAATTTCAGCCGTGTTTCTTCGTGCAACAATTAGGTAGTGGGTACTGAGGTTTCTTACATCCTTTCCCTGACTGCCATAAGGTGATGTTTGCAATAATAGCTATCCTTTATTAATTGAAGCAGTGTATTGACCTAAAGCAATTGCAGTTGACTGCTTCCCCTTTTGGCTGAAGGGGGAGGAATGTTAATTCAGGTTTAAATATGTTAACATGCATCAAGTACTTAAAGTAATTGCATTTAGACTACTGAAAGCTCACACTGAGCTCTGCTTAGATTTATTCTGAGACCTTTGGGCAACCTAGTCTAGTGGTTGGTGACCCTGCACGTAGCAGTGGGGTTGAAACTCTATGATCATGGTGGTCCTTTTCAACCCAAGCCCATTCTATGATCTTATATGTTCTCCCAGCAATATGGAGCTTTCCGATTGCATCTTCTAGTTTCAGGATATTAATTAAAGGCATGTGGATCTGGTTCAGGATGACTGTTTCCTTGTAACTGATTCATTTTTCTACTTGAGTAGTAATTTCATGTTCTGGTGTACTGTCAAAGGTGCCAGGATCTGGTATGGACTTGACTGGAATCTTTGTTGCTATCTGTGTTCATTGTTGCTATGTAGAAAATAACTGTGTACAGTACCTTTAAACACAGTAGCATTTTGTTTCTGTAGGATGTAAACTGCAAGTCAGAGAGACAAGGCTTTTAACTGAAAGCTCTCACGCCATGTATCACTGTTTCCACAGCTCTGAGGAGATCACCTTATACTTAAAGATGGCTGCTGATACATCTGTTGAAATACTTCAGAAAGTTCTGGAGAATGAAATACTTCAGACTGCCAAGGTGGTGGAAGAACATCTGGATGCTGAAATGCAGAAGCTCGACCAAATGGATGAAGATGAGTTGGAACACCTGAAACAAAGGAGACTTGAAGCACTGAAAAAGGCCCAGCAGCAGAAACAAGTAATTCTTATGCTAAGATAGGCTTTTGGTTCGTATGGTATAACAGGCTTTTTGGAAATCCTAGAAAAATTGTATGGGTGAACTAAGTGGATTTTTTTTCTCTCAGTTTCTTGTATTTAGTAATTTTAAATTATTTAGGAAAGCAAGCATCTGTCCACACATTGTGTGATTTGTGATATTCAGAGTCAGAAAAAAATTTCTGTGATTGTCTTACAGGAAGAGTAGGATAAGGAGTTTAGTACAAAGATTTCAGTGTGTCATTATTCAGTGAATGTTGCTGTCTGAAAGCTAAGCCTTGCAGACAACCTAGCCATGAGCCTTTGAGGTTCCTCATGTTTCCAGATGCTGGAGAAGTTTAGTTAGGGCATGTGAGTGGTGCTTGCTCTTTTCTAAGGCATTTTGTAGAAGAGTGATGGTAGAGTCTGTCCTTGTTCTGAGGTGAAATTAGTTGTCATGCTGCTTCTAATCTAATGAAACATTGGCTATGTATGACTTTTCATTTCTTGCAGGAAGAAATTCTGCTTTGTTTCCTAGCATCTCTTGCTAAACTTTGGTCTTCATGCTCCCCCAGAAGTCTTCTTCAGCATACTTCTTCCTGAAAACACAAAGTTTTAGTAATATATGCTCTGAGGTGGACACCTCCAGTGCAGGCGTGTTCTGCAGCAGCATGCAGAGTGGGGATTGAAGTGTGTGAAGGGAGTCTTGAAATTGAGGAGACCCCAGGGTGAGGAGAGAGATGCCAGGATCCCCTAGCCATCATTAGAGCAGTTGAAGAGGTGTGGACAGTGTTGGGAGCAATACCTTGGTCCCTGGTAACCCACAAAAGCAACACTCCAGTTCTGTCCCCACCCTTCACAACCAAAAAGATATAAAGCTCTTACAGCTATAGACACCATACTGGCAGCCTGCAGTGGACATCAGAAAGAAACACAGCCAGACGCGTGCAGTCCAGGAGGTTCGTGTAAAGTGTTGCTGGTAGCTTTCTGACACAGTGGTGGTTAAGCCAACAAGATGTGTGTTGGTGGACTTTCAGCTTACAAAGAAGGTTTGGTTGGAGATGTGAAGGCTGGAGATGACCTTAGCTGCAGTGATCATAAGGTGGTAGAGTTCAGAATCTTGTGTGGAAGAAGCAGGACAGAAAGTAGAATTGCAATCCTGGACTTCATTGGTGCCCACTGACAGAACAAGGGACAACAGGCACAAACTGGAACACTGGAAGTTCCATGTGAACATAAGGAGAAGCATCTTCACTTTGGGAGTGACAGAGCTCTGAATAAAAGCTACACTAAGTGATTGTCTCCTTCTCTGGAGATATTCAAAGGATATCCTGGACACTTTCCTCTGTAGTCAAACCTGCTTTAGTAGAGGGTTGGATTTATGATCTTCAGAGGTGCCTTCCGACTCCTATATTTCTGTAACATATGGTCTGAGACCTGAATTCTAAATAGGGAAGCCATAGATTTCTTAACTTATTCTTTGCAAACCTGAAGAAAGAAACAGACTGGGGCAGGATGAAGGTGACTGGGTTGAGAGGAGATCCTTTGGCTGTGGTGGCTCGTGTCCTGTTTTGAATTGGGAATGCAGTAAAATGTTGAATGGTTGGAATTCTGGACAAGAGGCAGTGTTAATGGCTTTGATTCTCCACATGTGGAAGCAGAAAAAATGTTATGCTATTTACTTATTACTTTAACAGTTATATTTGGTTCTAGTGTTTTCCTTTTTTTCTTTAAAATCATGACACTTGGGTATTCTTAGATACGAACATATGGAAGTTCACATGCACAAATGTACTTCTATCAGTTGATCTTCTGACACTGTTACCTTGCATTTTTAAATGCAATTTTGAAGTAGTTTACTACTGAGTGAAAAGTAAGATGCTCCATGATATTCTGGAAAAATAAGTCAGACTTTGATTTGCATCGTGATAATTTCTTCATATGATTATACTTGTAGGTGGTTGGTTGGTTGTTCTTTTTTTTTTTGTTACAGAACCACAGAATGGCTTAGGTTGGAAGGAACCTTTAAAGTCCAAGCAACTTGCTATGGGCAGGGACAACTCTCAGTAAATCAAGCTGCTCAAAGACCTATCCAGCCTTACCTTGCCCATATCCCAGAGTGGGCCATCTAGGCAGCCTGTACCACTGCCTCACCATTCTCAGTGAACAATTTCTTATTAATGCACTGTAATTAATTTTCAGTGCTATGGAAGCTGTTTTTTTGTTGTTTTTTTTTTTAATTTTTTTTTCATTGTGCAAAAGCAATGTAGAGTCGACCAAGCTGTCCGTTTACGGTTTTCAATTTGGAGAATTTCTGCTTTGAGCTAGTCTAATCTCACTAAGAGGCTGTGCTGCAGAAATCTGTGCAATTCAGAACAAGACTTGTGTTTACAAATATGTGAGGTATCTTACAGCTCAACCACCTGCCTTCTACCTACTCCTGTATGAAATGGGTTTTCACTGAAGTCCCTTCTATTTTTTTTTTGTTTGTTTGTTTTTGGTTCTTAAAAGCCGTCATGCTGGCACAGCAGATGCAGGGCTAACTAAATCTATACTAATTATTTCCTTTTGTTTTCCCTAAGGAGTGGCTTTCTAAAGGACATGGAGAGTACAGAGAAATCCCAAGTGAGAGAGACTTTTTCCAAGAAGTCAAAGAAAGTAAAAATGTGGTTTGCCACTTCTACAGAGATACAACTTTCAGGTAGAGTAAATAACTGATGTTCAAGAAACCTCCTCTTTACATTTGTTTATAAAAGCACTTTTTTAAAAATCTCATAAGTAAATTCAGATTTTTAGAAGTATGAAAATTCCATGATTTTCCAATTCTTGCTTTCTTCCCAAAAATCACATGTTGTTTTCCAAATGAGGTGAATGTGATTTGGCATTTATATTCTAATCAATTATGCAAACTTTCTTGAATTATGTGAGACAGGGCTGTGGGTCATTGTTGACTTAGTTTGAGGGAGCCAGCTCTCTACATTTAGTGACCACATAAGAGTAGCAACTTCTGAAAGATCACTGTCATTATTCCAGATGGAGATATTCTGGGAAGTTCTGACAGACAAAATCAGAATATAAATATGAACCTCTGTAGGCACCTTTAGTATTTAAGGTTTTGACTTTGAAAGGTTTCTGGATACCAGTTACAGCTGCTTTCTCTTTGGCCCTGTACCGTTGTAATTGTCACTTCTTTAGATTGTGAGAGACCTAGATCTGAGTAAACGTCCTGACTCAGAATGCAAATCTAAAATAAGATCTCCCACTGCTGTGGAGGAATTTCAGAAGTTCTGGGTTGTAAGCTGTTCCTAGATGGCTTATCTCAGTGCCTTCTGTTGAAGTGCAATTGCAGATTGCACTGCTTGTTGAAGGAGGAGCCAGTTGTCCTATCTTTTTCCCCAAGTTGCATTCTGTCTGATTTATGGAACATAAACTGAAACAGCTTCAATGTAAGAAATAGAAAAAAGGTCAAATCCAGATTATGCAGCTAGGTATTTGCATCTTAGGTTTTCTGAGTAAAATAGAGGTAGTAAAATTGAAAGGGCTTTTCTGAGTTTCTCATATGACCCCAACGTGCAGTGCTGTGTTCAGTTCCGGGATCCCCTGCACAAGAATGACAAGAAGCTGTTGGAGTAGGTCCAGAAAGGGCTACAAGGAAAATCAGAGGACAGGAGTACCTCCGCTGTGAAGACAGGCTGTAAGGATTGGGGTTTTTAAGCCTGGAGAGGGCACTGGGGAGACCTTAGAGCAGCCTTCCAGTACTTGAAGGGGGCCTACAGGAAAGATGCCATGGATGTCCCATTCCTGGAGATGTTTGAGGGCAGGTTAGATGTGGCTTTGGGCGTCCTGGTCTGGTAAGTGTCCATACCCATAGCAGAAAGGTTGGAACTAGATGGTCTCTGAGGTCCCTTCCAACCAAAACATTGTTAGTATCTGAAGCTGTTGGATTCAGCTAGCTTTTAGTAAACAAAACAAAGTTGGAAAATTACCTGTGCAAATAAGTAGCTTAAAACAGGAGTGGATTATCTCGTTGCTGTTGTTTGAACCAATGAAATGTGTAGTCTCAGACGGGAAGAGAAACTTTCTTTAAAAGTTCTCTGTGAAACATGTAATGCTGACAACCAGCTTGAACCTATTTTGTCAGATTTACCATCCACACTATCGAGTTGTTTTCATCCTCATCCACTCCAGCTTTTTGATCTTCTCAGCCTTCTTTAGTTAAGGACAGTCACTTCACAGATTTGTGCAGCTCAGCCAAACCACTCCAAGAAGAAAGTTCAGAATGTGAAGATTCCAAGTGACAGGTCCATATGTCTCTGCCTTTTGAGAAGTATTTTGGGCAGTTGATGTTACTGACCCTTAGCTGAGAAACGATAATTATATGTTCATTATTACTACTTTTCCACAGAAAAGTGAAATACTTGCCTTTGGCATTAATGAAGGGCTCTGCAAGTATATTTTTCTGTGTACAGTGAGTTACTGTATCTCAGTATTGGAGGCTGTGACTTTTATGAAGTTAGGAAGTTGATTAATGAGAAGTTTTCTGAGCACACGGACAATGAAACTAAAGCAGGAGGAATGGAGATCAGGAGGAGATTTTGTCAATAAATGCAGGTCTTCAGAAAGAGGTTTTCCTGGTGCATGAGGGATTTGGAGTATAATTAAGAAACAGTAGAAATTGATGATGTAATTGTGTAATAAAGGTGCTCCAGGCTATTGTTCTATTGTTAGGTCTGACATCCTTTGAACACAGCTTCTCTTGGAACTAAATTTTTAATTTTAAAGATGATGTCTAAAGAAGCAACATGATAGAAATAGCTCTTTACTGTTATTGTATGCATTTGTCATCTCACTGATACTAATGTTTCATATGTTTTTTTTTCCTCACAGGTGCCAAATAATGGACAAGCATTTGACTGTATTGGCAAAAAAACACGTTGAGACAAAATTCTTGAAGTTAAATGCAGAAAAATCTCCTTTCTTGTGTGAGAGACTGCGCATCAAAGTAATTCCAACTGTAGCACTAATAAAAGATGGAAAAACACAAGACTATATTGTTGGCTTCACTGATCTCGGTAACACTGATGACTTCACTACGGAGACCTTAGAATGGAGATTAGGCTGTGCAGACATAATTAATTACAGGTAATTAACAGTTTTGTAATTGCTTTTTTTAGATACAGTGCAAGAACATGCTTGTGGACAAGAATCTAAAAGTTTGTAACTTTGACTGATACACTGTATGATTAAGGCACAGACGAGTTTAAGGTTGCCCAAGGAGGCTGTGGATGCCCCATCCCTCAGGCATTCGAGGCCAGGCTGGATGTGGCTCTGGGCAGCCTGGTCTGGTGGTTGGCAACCCTGCACATAGCAGGGGGGTTGAAACTGGATCATTGTGGTCCTTTTCAACCCAGGCCATTCTATGTTTCTATGGCATGATTTCATCTGTGTACTTTGGCAAGGGAAAGCAAGTGCATATCTTTGGCAACATGTTGAGGTCTTATAATGATCATTATATATTCTTTTTGGTACAGTAATAAAATAAACACAGTTCTTGCTGTGAGGTATTGTAACACCCTGGAAAGCATGACAATGACAGCAGGGCAGCAAGATCCCAGGCTGCAACAAGTGAGGATTCACTCAAGTGCAACAGCTTTGGGCACAGAAACAAGGGAAAGAAGCTGCTTAACTTCAGGAGGCCTCAAGTATGTAGGGGTCTCCAGTGAGACAGCCTTGCCTCCACTGCCAGCCCTTAAATGAGATTTGGGAAGGGGTGGATCCTAGCTGCACCCCTCCTGGTCACTCAGGCAATGCATGCGCCTGAGCTCCCCTGGGTTGGCCCTGCCAGTCTCAGTCACTGTGTCAGGCTGTGACTTAGCATTTCCACTGCAGGTATATAGAATAGCTTACCTGACTGAGTCCTTTGCTTAATGTAATCCTTTCTAAACAAGCTCAGGCATCACAATTGCAATGCATTAAAGTTTGAGCGTTTTGATTCACTTCAGTGAAAACTCTATAAGCTATATTAATGCTTTTTCTAATACTTCATTTTCTAAAATTTATTTAAATGCCTAGTTCCCAAATTTTGGCAAGAGATACTATATCTCAAAGGCAAATAAACTATTGCTAGCTGCTGAACTTCAGGTGACCAAAATGAAAACTTGTAATTGATAACAACACTTGCCTGTTCAGTAACAAGAGAATACACAGAGGAGTTAAAGGCAGTGTGGATATATATTGTAGACAGCAGCACCCCTTTATGGGAGAAATAATTCAGTGGAGTTGTACCAAGCTGTGCTGAATTTGCTAAATTTTAGTACATTGGCTCACTGCGTAATTTTCCTTTCTGCTTGACTCATAGTCAAGCTTCTAGAAGAACATTTTGTTCATTTTTTTCCACACTCTAAGTTTGGTACTCTGACTTTGGAAAGCCAGCCACTATATCTGCACAGCCCAGGAGATCATACCTGGACACATTCATTTATAAATGTTTCTACGTGGCTCTGAATGCAGTTTCCCACTCTCTAGAGTTCCTCATCAGTCTGAAAACAGGTGTTTGGGTTTTTTGTGGGTTTCTTTTTCCTTTAGTATATGAGGGATGGCAGATGGTGAAAGGATGTGCTGTATTTAGGAGGAAAACTGTTCTGGTCACACTGATTTGAGTAAAATCAGGATTCAGATGGTGTATTGACTAATTACTGACATGTAATTAACTAGCAGTCAGTGAACTTTGCATTTAGAGTCAATAGCTCCAACATGTTATTTACAAAGTGTTAATAACAAATTTTTAAACAGCCTTCTGTAGCTAATTCTAAAAAGTTCTAATTGCTCACTCCCTAACACTGACATGCAAACCTCTTACGGGTCATGTGAATTAAAAGCACCTACACCCTTGTCTGAATGAGGGGAGAGGATTCCCCTCTTTGCATACATCTGCTGTAGAAAATGCAGGAGCCCCAGCTTTATGTGAACACAGATAATAGCTATAGATTCAAGTAGGGAAGATTTAGGTTGGATGTCAGAGAGCAGGTCTTCACAGAGAGAGTGGTGAGGTGCTGGCACAGCTGCCCAGAGAGGTTGTGGATGCCCTGTCTCTGGAGGTGTTCAAGGCCAGATTGGATGGGGCCCTGGGCAGCCTGGTCTAGTATTAAATGGGGAGGTTGGTGGCCCTGCATGTTGTGGTGGGGTTGGAGCTTGGTGATACGTGAGGTTCCTTTCCAACTCAAGCCATTCTGTGATTCAGTAACCTCTGCACCCACACACTAGTGAGAAGACACTCACAAGGTCAAGTGCACACTGAGATGTGGGTTCTTCCACAGCCTACCAGGCTGTGCATAGTATCAAATAAGGATATGCTCTGCTGGCAATTGCACAGTGCTATTCAGGGTGGCTTTAGGGAGCAGGGATTGTGTTCGCTTGGTGTTTGTGTTTTTTCTGGAGGGACAGGTAGCTGTAAGTGCAGTTTTCTGCCTGCATAAATATAGCCTTAATCAACACCTTTTTTTTTTTTTTTTATTTTAGTGGAAACTTGATGGAGCCACCCTTTCAAAGCCAAAAGAAATTTGGAACAAGCTTTACAAAGTTGGATAAGAAGACCATCAGAGGAAAGAAATATGATTCAGATTCTGATGACGACTAGAACAGCTAAATCTATTTATAAATCATGTTTTGTTTATGCTTGGTACATTTTTAAGAATGATTTTTGTAAATCTTATTTCTTTTCATTACATCTGCGCATAATGCTCACTTTTTCTATACAGTTTTATACAACTGGGTCATATCAGAAGAGAGCCTAAAATATTTTTTTTCTCTCTTTTGGAAGTCATTTGTAACTCAAAAATCAAAGTCCTAACTAAGTCACGTGTTGCAAACAATGAACTTTGTCTAACTGTACATTTATGAAATGTTGTGAAGTAACTGTTAGGAACAGCTGTACCAAGTCAGACCAAAGGTCCATCTGGCCCTGTATCCAGTCTCAGCGGCCAAAAGCAGATGCACAAGGAAGAGTAAAAGCAGGGTAAGCAGATAGTGATGCTTCTTCAGGAAATAGTTTGAGCAATTTCTGGTTTGGGGAACTCTGTCTGAAAACATTTGTTGGATAAAAAGAAAACAAATCTTTTTAACCATCATTACACCTTTATAGCTTTCACATCATTTGGCAAGGAGTCCACGACTTCACTGTGTTGTGTCAAGAACTACTTTCCTATTGTTTTCCTATAATTTTATTGAATTTAAGCTCCTTTTTTTTTTTTTTTAAATTTTTTTCATTAAAGGAGACAAGAAGCAATTCAATTTTTCTCTATCTGTTCATCTTCCAGTTCTCTTCAAACTTACAACTATTTATTGTCAGTAAAGCACCACAAGTTATTGGTACAGGAATTGTACATTTTAATAGAGGATTGCTTACCTCGTGGTGCCATGTCACGACATTGCATAACTTAACCACATTGCACTGTAAGCTGTAAAACAGGTTTGTATAGTTACATGGTTTTGAATGTGTGGATTTTTTTAGCAGATGCTTTGTACAAGAGAGTGGGCTAGAGAAAAGAATTAAGGAGAAACCTTGATCTGTTTAGATATAGCTCAGCATTCTGTGTATTGTTTCTTCAGTAATGGGCTGAATTTTCAAGGGAGAGCATCTTTGGAACATGATATACATTTTCTGGGTAGGTGAAGAGTTGAATTTTTTTTTTTCTTTTATTCTCAAAATCATGGTTTGCTGTGTGCTGGAGGACTCTTTCTAAGGTGATACTTTGAATTGGCCCCCCAAAAAAATGAAGTGGTTCTTCCTGCCTTGTAGTGGAGAATGCCATTGGGCCAGCCCAGCAATATAACCCTGCAAGAAAGTCTAAACAATAATTATTATATTTTATTTCAGTTCACGTACATTGAAATAAAATTATTTTAATTCTAATGTTGACTTTTGCATTCTTTCCAATAAGATGGTCTAGTGCTCTGAGTTATTTTCTTTCAGTGGTCTGTCAGTGTTGCACGTGCTCTTGCTAGATTTGTAGCAAGCTATTGTCCTGACATTGACTTCATTTTGAGAAATTAATCAATCGCCTTAAGATGTAGCTGCCTGTTAGTGCCTTAGAAGCAGGCTTGCTTCAAGCTGACCTCTCAGTGCATAAACTCTCTAACTGCACTAGTAAGTGTTCTTTTTGCATGGAATTGGATTTAGGAAACAAATGTTTCAACAGCATTGTTAAGAGTGCCTTAGCAGGGCTCATCTCTGAGTCTTAGTTATGTTGAAGTAGATGTGGAAATATATAATCCTGTTTAAAATTCCTGTATGTTCCACGGATGTGCATTTAGGTAGCTGCTTGTCAAGACTCTGGCATGTAGCACTGTCAAAGGTTATTAAGTTCTTTGTGTGAATAACTCCATTATGAACACAATACCTATGCTGTGGTTTCATGTCCCTCTAAGCTGCTGATTTTTTTTCAAGGCTAATCTTCAGTTCTACCTGTCCCTTCATTGGCTTGTAGCATGACTCACACACTCCAGTGCTGATGCAAAGGGCTTTGCAAGGAATGTGCAGTTTGGATAAAAGAGGAGGTTGAGACTGTATTGATTGGTTTATTTTCAAGTAGCAACCACACAGATCTGCCTGCTTCAGATTTTTGTTTCTGTTTTCTGCCTCGAATGAAGAATTAAACTGTCACTGGATGGTTATTCAGGTAAGTTTTCCAGTCTTGATCTGCATACTGCTTTGAGCAATCCAAAACCATTAATTCTTTTCATCTCAAATGTAGAAATTCTTTAAGTTGTGGAAAATTCTTTGCATTTTGGGGAATGCATTTTTCATCTGAGGCAAAGCTCAGTAATTTTGTGGTACAGATTATTTGGTGAAATGTCCATGGCAGTGAGACATGTTTCAGCAAGCTAGAGAGAGAACAATACAAAGAACACAGTGTAACAAAATGTCAACTGCAGAAATTCAGAAAGCACAAAGCTTGATTTTTGTCATCAGTCTACTGGTGGCAATGAAACTGATAGAAAAGATGAGAATACACAGTACCCAGAAGGCATGGGTTGTATGTCATTAGCTGCTTTCAGCTGTGACATGATGTGTATATAAGGACACAATTAACTGAGGCTCCTGAACCTAGACTAATTACAAAATGGCACCTGGTGTGGCATGTGCCAGCCCTGAAGGGGTATTGTGGAATAAATAGATGAGAAATGTTCACATACAGCATTTGAGGCTGTGGGGCTTGTGCATGAACTGAGCATGTAATATTAATAATGATTAGTGGTTAAGCGTGGGCTTAACGCTTCCACAAAGTAATCATTAATGCATAGAGAAAATAATGAGGTTGGTACTGTTCAGCTTAATGATTATTTGGGCTTGACTCTGCACCGATGGCTGATTGATGCCACTTGAAGCTTGGGATGCACTGGTTGAGAAATCTACCTAAATAAAGTACTGAGTTGCGCTCTGGGATTTGGGAAGTGTGAGGAAGTTTGGTCCCTGAAAGAGATGAGACAAACTCTGACGTGCATAACAAATCAGCAGCTGCAGTCGGACCCCATTAGTAGCTTGAGTCCCCTGCAGTTGTAATAGGGACTGTTCATGAAGTCAGACATTAAAGATGAATAGATGTCCTGTGCTCCAAGTAATCCATTTTGTGTCATTTTCCTTCTAGAAATTCTAAAACGAATACCTCTCTACAGATACGTGTATAGAAAATGAGTTTTGAATAACAGGTGTATTGAGGACACTTATTTTCTTCCTATGTATACACACACACCAAATTGATGCAGGAATCATCTGCCTTCTGGGCTCATTGCATACTCATTAGCTCTGTACTCCACCGTTTCAAAGGGAAGTTGTCAGTAATTGGTTGACCTGCCTGTCTTTTTAGATCAACTGTATCCAACAGCTGGAGAGTGGGGGTTATGCTCCCAGGTTCAAGAGCCCCTGCAGGTCAGAATTTGAGAGTATTTGATGTTATATAGTTATGTTAAATGTTCTGAGGACGATGTTGCCCTTTGTCCCCCTGTAACGGATAAATAGAAAGGTTCCCACACATCTGAGCAAGTTACTGCTCTGAAGATCCAGATTTACCTCTTGTTCTTGGACCTTGCTTTCAAGCATTTGGAAGAGTTTGTATCAGATGCAGTAAGAGGGAACATATGTCTATACTGTCTCATCAGCTGGCACATGAAACATACAGACCATAGCCAGAAATATCTGAATATCTGAAATATCTGAAAATCTGAAATATCTCAATATCTGAAAGGTGCTTACAGCAAGAGCAGGTCTGGTCTCTTCTCACTGGTGACAGGACGAGGGGGAATGGCCTCAAGTTGCACCAGGGTAAGTTTAGGTTGGATATCAGGAAGCACCTCTTTACAGAAAGGGTTGTTAAGCACTGGAATAGGCTCCCCAGGGAGGTGGTTGAGTCACCATCCCTGGATGTGTTTAAAATCCATTTGGATGTGGTGCTCAGGGACATGACTTAGTTGTCATGGGTTGTTAGACTGAGGGTAGTATGGAGAGGTCATGGTTGGACTCGATGATCTTCAAGATCCTTTCCAACCTGAGTGATTCTTTAATTCTAAAATATATCTAGTTCAAATGTGGCGAATTAATTTCAAGTGTACACTGAGAGATATTAGAAGTTTTTTGATGAAAAGGGGGTGTTAAGAAAACTTGCTTTTAGAGATCCCATGAGACACACTCTGAGGCTACAGTTTCTGGACTAGCTATTACACTATTACAGCCCTGGGTTGAGCTGTCTGAAATAAACCACTGCTGGTCCAGGAGCTATGTAACTGTGTAACTCAGCACTGGATTTGTGTTGTTATACTTCGCTTTGCTAAACACAACCTGTACAAGCATCATCTGTCCTGTGGTAGATTATAACGTATGATTCCTGCAGATAATTATCCACCTTGCAGATAATTATCTATATTACAAATGATGTATTGCTAAACATCGGCTTTTCCCAGGATGACAATGTATGAAAATCAGGTGATTGTAACATATGAAAGCTAATTAATTCCTTTCCTGTTCTTCCTTGCTAATTATTTCTTTTGTTAGTGTGCTGCCCTACAAAAAGGCCTGGAACTGTTTCCTGTTTGGTTTCCAAAATGTTGACAATCCTCAATGCTTTGTATCATGAATTCCAGGCACACAGAAAAGCTCTTAATAGTTATCATGATTAATGGGTAAAGTTAATAATTCATAGATGTTAGCCTGACATCCCCATGAGTCACAAATGTACAATCCTCCTTTTATATGTGGGAAACTAAAGCAAGATTAGCTCTGCTGGAGGACCTAGGAACACCAAGAACTGGGTGCTCCAGTATCTAATGTCAGCCTTTTCCTGGAACTCGTATTTTGGGAGCAGGCTTCTCAGCTTTCTTTTTGGTGTGTGGTGTCCCAGGATAAGATCAGAGGCATCCAGAATGCTGATGAGTGCTGTGAAGTGAGCTACTATGAAATGTTCTGCCCAGGTACAACGCTTCTCTCTACCCTCACTTCTGAAGATATGCAAGATAGCATAAAGACTGTGGGACTGGGAAGAAGGAGCAAAAGACAAAAGTGACTTTGTAGATTATGGAATTGGAAGAAGTTTGCATTCTATTCCCTATTCCCAGTCCAGTATTCCCAGTATTTTCCACTGGTTTGTTGGTGTGTGTGTATGTTTGGTGGTTGTTTTTTGTTTTTTTTTTCCTACATATGTAATATAAAACACCAGTGCAATCTCAGGAACAAGGAGCTGATTTGACTGTGCCACCTTGGTACTGAAAGACCTTGCTGCCAGGCTACCAAGCTATTCCACTGTCTTCCCTTTGACTTCCTCTGCAGCTCTGTTGTGCTCCACCACGCAGTAATGCAAGCTTGACAGGCTACAAAGCAAACACACAGACATCCTGTTGGTGTGGCATTTAAGTGCTTTATGCAAAAGAGAGTTTAATGTGGGTTTCTGCCTTCATGAGGTTATCCTCTAACTAACCTACTCTGGTTTAAACAGAGTAGGCATCACAGCCACCTTTTGTGAGTAAACACATGAGTTCAGGTTACAGACTCCCATTTGCCCAGAGATTTTGACACTGGCAGACAAAGACCAGAGCCCAGTCTTTAGGAGGTGAGGACCAAGCTGCTCTGGCTGGGTTGTTTTAGACTTGTGCAAGAACTGAAGTACAACTCAGTCAAGTAAGTGGAACACAGTTCTGGAACCCGCCAGTGCCCAGGCAATGCTTTATAAGTTTACACCCTCTCCTGTCCTGAACTCTAAATGACCTGTTTTAAGTGATGTGTCTGTGTTTAAGCTGAGATACAAACTGAAGTCTCAGCGCAGTGAGTTATTTGCTCAACTATCTTTCCTACAGTGAAGTTCAAAGTCTTTTAGAAAACAGAAGAAAAATACTTGATTTCTTTTCACAATGGCTAGAGAGAAGCTTTGTGCATATTGGGATGTTGTTACAGTGCTCACCTGCATTCTTCGTAAAGGCAATATAAGGGAGGAAACTGTGGCCCTCAGCAGCTGTTGGGTTCAGAGCACGGTGAAAATGGAGAGCCTCACACCCAACAGATTTGAAGCTCCTCTCAACACACTTTAGCTATTGTTATTTAGAGATACACTAGACATAGGAAATAAATTCTACTCTTAAGGTGGCCGTACCCCTTCAAAAGGTAAGAGAAACAGCTCTACAGTGTTTGCCTGAGATGAAAGGTTTGGGATTAAACAAGCCCATGAGGGGGAAGTTACAGATGCATCTTGAACTGGTCAGTTAGTGCTAGGCATCCCCTGTGTGTCAGCATGGGCAGTTTCCCTATAAAGCTGTTATAAAGCTTGTAAATACCCGGCGTTACTTATAATTACATCTCAGACAAAAGGAATAGCCTGAGAAATGCATCTGCCTGGTGATGTTATGAAACCAGGGCTGA